TGCAAACGCTGATGTGATAATACAAAATATGATCGGCAAAATGATCGACATGTGATATAAGTATGTCCACCCTGCTCCCCTCTTATGTGGCATAAAATTTATTGGCGATCTGCGACCTATTAATGAATCATTTTAAATGACCTATCATTTTTTCTTCCCATTATTTTTTTTTTTTTAAAAAAAAAAAAAAAAAATGACAGAATACATTATGAATGATATAAACATCATGCAAGACGCAGACGAAGAAGAGGAAGATATGGCAGATCTTGTTGACGATGATGAAAATGCATATTCTCAAAAAAGAGAGCAAAAAGTGATAAAAAGTGAATTCAGACACGAAGGTAAAAAAATCGCGTTTTATAAAGTTTATTTTACGTGTAAATACTTTAATTTTATTATTAATTAATAAAAATTATAAAAAGAATTACGCGAAATCGGTTCATCGGCAATTTGGTCACTATCAAGTTGGAAACCTGGTAATGGTGTAGATAAATTGCGTGATGATAATTTCTTGACTTATTGGCAGTACGTTTAAAAAATTTATCTTTATTGATTCGTTTAGGGCTGTGATCATACGCGTTTCCATTTTATTTTATTTTATTTTAGATCAGATGGGATTTTACCACACATTGTTAGTATCCAATTTCCACAGAAAGTCAATGTTGTGGTAAGAATTATTCCCAATTAGAGTTTATGATGTAAAGGCTTAATCTCTTACATTTTTTTTTTTTTTTTTTTTTTTTTTGATAAAATTTAGCAAATATCACTTTGGCTTGATTTCAAAAATGATGAAAGTTATACACCCAATAAAATAACTATTAGAGCTGGAACTCATAACGGAGATCTTCAGGTAAATGGATTCATATCAATGGACTTCATTGAAACGACAAAGAATATTAATTTGAAGTTTGACTTTTAATAAGGATTTGAGAACTGTCGAACTTGATGAACCACAAAGGTGGGTGGATATACAACTCAGTGGTGATGAAGTATTAAGGTATTAATTATAGTAATGTTATTATTTATTTAGCAAAATTTTTATAAATATTTTAATAATTTGATGATTATATATTTATGTAGTAGGACAAGTCGTCCGGTAGGAGCACATCTTTTCCAAATAGCCATCAAGGCAAATCATCAAAACGGAAAAGACACTCATATGCGGCAGATTAAAGTATTTTCCCCAAAGCTGTGTGTATTTTTTTACCTTCTCTATCTCACTTTATGAAGTCAAACCGAATCTCTTAAACGATTTTTTTTTAGCCCGCTTTTCTATGAAGACGATTCTGATGATGATATTCCATTTAAAACAGTTGATTTTTCAATGCATGAGACTGTACGATGAATGGAAGCGAAAGAGAGTCTCATAGTTAGGATTTGTAAACTTATATTACTTGGTGCCCCATTTTGTTTGTTTTTTTCCTCATTTTTTTTTTTTACTAATTAGTATTTTCATTCCTTCAGTTTGAGCTAGCATATTTCATTGTATTTTTTAAATATAAATAAAATAAAACAATTATAAGAAATTTCCTTATTAATCTTATTGAAATCACCAATTTCTATTTTGGTTCAAGGCACTCTAGTGAAATCTAAATTGATTTTATTGGAGAGGTCATTACTTTAAAAGTGAACCATATATCAAACAAGTCTTCTGTTGACCAGGCATCAGAGTTTCGATGACCTTGGACAGATACGGGACTGAAATTTTCCTGAATTACTCAAGTTTATAAGATCTAGAAGAAAAGTGAATGAATTATTAAATCTATAATAAACATAAATTTTAAAATGCACGTAAATTCAACACTTTAAATATTATAAATTTTATAATTTTTTTTTATAGTTGAATTCTAAAAAACATATAAAATTACAAATTTCTAAGAAACGTATAGACAATATATATATAACAAATTGTGACGAAATTTAAATAAAGAAATGTATTATGTTATTTTTTTGATGTTGCCCACCAAGCAGACAGTTTCTTTTGTAAATGCAAAATGAATTACAAATTATATATGAAATATCAAAAAAAAAAAAAAAGGGAAATTATTCCTACACTATTATCTAAAAATAAAAAAAAAACTCTTCTTTATCCCCAAACCATATTATTTAAACCCACGATTTTATTTATATAAATTACTTTTGGTCATAACTTTTGATTATAACTTATTTATTTACCACCAAGCATAATCCAAACAGCTTTTGAAGGAACACCATTCTCTACAACAAACATTAAATAAGGACCAGGTGGAGCAACGCCACCATTTGGTGGAGCTGTCAAAGATAATTTTCCATTCTTATATTCAGTTTCTAACCAGATTTGACGTTGGGACATATGAGTTGAATGTGTAACGAATCCGGAATTCAAAATATTGGCAGAAACTTTAGGCTTATCAGAATAGGTTTCAATTTCAACTTCAAACTTTTGACCGTATTTTATCTCGCCGGGGGCTTGTTTAATCAAGGGTTGAGGTTGTCCAGTAAAGAAGAAAGGTGGTGTGAAAATTTCAACACGAAAATCAGTTGGAAAGGGGCCTTCTCCTGTTGGATTCTTATTTGGATTAGATCCGGAAACTAACAGTTGACCTGAAGGAACAGTGAAAGCGATAGAATGATACATTCGTGGAATATAGGAAGGTTGTAACTGAGTCATGCGAGCACCTTTCTTTGCAGTTGGATTATACAAAATTGGGGTAAGTACGGGATCAGTGCCTTTACCGAAACCAGCGGTACCCTTTAAACATCCATTAAGAATCATAACTTCACCATCAGATAATAAAGCAATATCAGGCATTAAACGACCAAATGGCATTTCTTCCATATACCACATTGGAGTTTTATCTAATGGTTTAATACGACCACAAGTATTTTCCCCTTTAGAAGTTGCTTTAAGGCTATCAGCCCCACCACAAACAAGAATTTCTGGTTCATAATTATTTGCAGGATCTAATGGCAAGATGACAGACCCTCCAGTTAAAGGATAATGTCTTGGAGGTCCTGGGATTACTGGTAAATCAACTTTCTTTGAAAAGGTTGTTGTGTCAAAAATAATTGATTTGACATTTGCCATAATGAAAAGGTTCGAGTCCGGAAGAAGATGAACAGAAGGATATAAGTTATATGGCAAAGTTTCCGTCAAAAAATCAATGGGGATCGCACCACCTTTTCCTTTTGGTGGAAAAAGTTCGTAGCTAGGCACATTCGTTGCAGCGTCATTAACAGCTACACCTTTATTAGCACCACCAAGAACAAATAAAGTACCGTCCGCCAGTTGCTCAACGGATGGATACCAACGAAGAACTGAAAGGTCAGCATTGTTTGCCCACCAGTCACATTTGGCGTCGTTACATGGGGTAAACATTCGAATTTTGTTAAACCCCTGATCAACTTGTTGAGAACTTTCAGCACCACCTAAATTCATCACAGTCTAAAAGTCGAAAAAGAAAAAATTAGATAAGATTATACATAAAAAAATTTTTTTAAAAAAAAATAAAATAAACCTTACTCCATTCATTAAATAACCTCCGGCCGAACAAAAGGTGTTTGATATGGTGGTCAAAGGTCTTATTGTATTTGTGTCAAGATCATATTCTACCGTATAGGTTGGCTTACCGTTAATAGTAACTTCGGTAGCTAACTCTACACGTTCAATGAACAAGACTTTGTTTGTACCAGGAGAAAGGATACCATGCATAGTGGACACTCCAGAGTGACCAACGAAATCCCATTGACCAAGTTTTGCAGATTGGCCAGCTACTAAACTAGCCGCTGCTAAAATAGGGAAGAGATTTGTGTATAAACTCTTCATACTTTTTACTTGCTGTTGTTGCTCTTATTATTATATGCGGTGATATTATTATAAGGGATTAAAAAAAAAAGTAATAATTATAGAACAAATGAAAGGAGTGACTTCGATGGTAAGGAGGATAAAATAAAGGATGATATGAAAGAAAGGGTAGAGAGAGAATATAATGAAAGGAATTACCAACGAAGTATCAGTTAGGGAGGTATGAAAGAAATTGAAAGGGTATAACATATTATAAGCAATGTTATATATTTAATCATTTTTTCAGAGGAGTCGTACAATATAACATTCGACTTGAAGGTTATCCAGTGAATTTTCATTTTCATTTTTTTAATTAAAATGGTGCATCTGCCAAATAAGTTATAAAAGAAATATTTTGATACATTTGACAAATACGTTCAACTAACTAAAAAAAGAATAAAAATTCTACAGTATTATTTCATAGGTTATTCCGATCATTGGATGATTTCTTCTTTATATTAACAAAAGAATAAAATTCGATCAAATCGATGATTTCTTATTGGTTAGAAGATTTTTGAAATAATTATTATTTATATTCTAAAGAATTCTTTATCATAACAAATGAAGAGATAAAAATATTATTTCTCTTTATAGGAAATAATGTTTTTATTTTGAAAACAGTATGATTAAAGTAGTTAAAACTAGATTTTACGGATTTCGGAAGTTACCCGCAATGTGATGTATAGATCACATGATATAGAAAACGCCTTTCCCTAGTTTACCTAATAAAGCCAATCTAGAAATCTAGAAATAAATATTTATATATCCTATCATGTCATGTATAATGGTGACAAAATTTTATTTTTGATTAATTAAATCACGGGATCATATAACAATTAATTTAATAATTAACAAATTTTTGTATATATTTAATATTAATAATAATATTATTTATAATAAGTATTTTATAAAATCTAATATAATAAAATCTGATGAATCTTACTTATATTTAAAAAGTTAAAATTTAATTCAAATAACTATTACAAAAATAATATTTACTTTACAATTTTTTTTTGATTCATAAAATTCATAAAATTTGTTCTTTTATTTTGTTTACTTAGAAAGATAAAGAAATTTATCTTTAATTAGTATTATAAATCTAAAGATTTTGAATTCATAAAAAAAAAAAATGAAATAATTAGAATAATAGGTATAATATAATATTAGTTGAGTCTTACTTTACTATTAAAATATTAACTTTATTCTCTTCTATATAAGAATTTTATCATTAATACTTAATAAAGATTAAAGATAAATCAAATATCATTATATTTTAAATAAATGAAATGGTTTTTATATATACAGTATATCAGAATCTGAAGTTTTAAATTCGTGATTTGTATAACTATATCCTTTAACTTGTGTACTTTTTTAGCATTGAAAATATTTTTGGGTTCGAAAATATATGGGAGGTTTATGAGGAAAAATTTTTAACTAATGATTATGAAAGATGCACTTATTACGTAGACGTTTATATAAATTTTCCTGTTTTAGATGGATGTAACCAATAGAAATTACCATTATTACTGCACGTGAAATCTCAATCGTTAAAAATACAATTTAAAATTTTTTTTTTCATAAAGCTACTTCTCATATTCATATACATTCGTGTTAAGCGTATTGTATCTCCTTTGTGAGTTAAATCGTTACTTGCGCACACGAATTATCTCAATCCATCAAATTTAACAAAGAAAAAGAAATGGCTACTACCTCTGAACTTGCAACTGTTTATGCTGCAATCATCCTCAGTGACGACGGGGTTGAGATTACTGTATGTAATTTTTTTTTTTTTTTATTAATTATTTGAAGGTTGGATAGGGGAAATATTTAAGTCATAGGATTAAATAAATATGTGGGAAATTATTTTTTTTAAAAAAAAAAAACCAAATATATCAATTCATTTTTTTTTATTTATTTTATTTTATTTTTTTTTACTTCATTTTAGGCTGATAAATTACAAGCTTTAACAAAAGCAGCAGGTGTTGAAGTTGAGCCAGTTTGGGCAACTTTGTTCGCTAAAGCCCTTGAAGGAAAAAATATCACTGATCTATTAATGAATATTGGTTCTCGTAAGTATTTTGTCACCATGAAAAAAAAAAATCTGATTTAAAAAATTTGATCGCGAAAATATTAAGGATGTTTTATAATTATTTAGCCGGTGCAGGTGGTCCTGCCGCTGTTGGTGGTGGTGGTGCGGCAGCTGGTGGTGGTGCTGCTGAAGAAAAAGCAGAAGAAAAGAAACCCGCGGAGGAGGAGAAAGAAGAATCTGATGATGATATGGGATTCGGTAATTATCATTATTGTTATTTTTTCTTTTCCGAAAAAATATTAAAATATTCATTATCATTGTTGCTGTTTTAGGTCTCTTCGATTAAAGGAATTATAATGGTTTAATTTATATATCATGCAAAATTCTCTTTGATATTGATTTTTTTTAATAAAAAGATATATTTAATTGAACAAAAAACTTTATTACGCAAATAAATTTATTCTGTTATGAATATACAATCAAAGTGGAATCGAAATAAAAATCCGCTACAAAAAACGTGAAATGATTCTTATTAATACGTCATTTCATGTCCTGAAAGTGGTATATAAATTTTATTATTAACGCATCTCATCCACTTGATGGTTAGAGTTTAACTCACTTCATCAATGTTTATTATCGGAACAAGCGTTTGTACAGAAAATTGATTTAACATTTTAAATATATTTCTTTTATTGATATTAAGATAAAATAAATTGAATTTTAAAATATTAATAATCTTCTCCACGACTAACAACCTAATAAGTGAATTAATATATTAGTACAAGCATAGAATATATGTTTGTTTACAATTATTATATTAAAATACTCACTTCTTTGCAAGTAGGTCTTAAGATTATAGTATGTTCAAATTGTGCTGTATATGAGCCCTTAATATCAACCAATGGTGGATATGATTCCACAATTCCAGAATCAACTAAATTCTTCAACGCAAGTATGTATTTTGTTTCACCAACGCGATCGAGGTAACGGCGACAAAACGGCAATGTACCAAAACGTTTGTTAATAGTATGTAACAAAGATTTCGCCTTTGCAATACTTCAAACATATGAAAGTTAGCTTTTTTTAAAAATATATATATATATATATATATAAAATTACCGTAGTGGAACGTGCCCAATATCGTGACGTTTAGCATAATGACTGCATTCACCATCTTCGTGAACATAACCTTTTCCAGTACTACCAAAGGTCTCAATAGCAAAACATTCTCCCTCCTGTTTAACAAAATTAAATAAGAATGATTGTTGGAATCTCTTGAAGAATTATATATGTTTTTATTCACAACTTACCTCCATTTTAGTTTGATCGCCCCCTTTCACAATTGGCACAGATTTTCCTGCGTGAATCTGATATGGACGTATAGAATGGCCATTCAGATTACGAATTGGTTTGACTATATATATTGATAAATTATTTGTACAGTCAAGGTTAACCTAAATATAGATGATAGCATCAAAGAAACTTCATACCTTGATAAGTTTTTCCACTGATTTCTACCTCATAGCTTTCCATGACTAATTAAAATACACAGAATCAGCCAAACATCAAAGAAATGATAATTAGGGAAACTTATGTAATTTCACCTTCTTGAATAGCGGATCCAATATCACACAATCTTGCATCGATGCCAGCTTCTCGAATTCCGGTATTTGTTGCATCTTTGACTGCTTCCTTAAGTTTATCGTAAACTGGGTTAAAAGTGAGGGTAAATGCGCAATCTACTATGCGCCCTTTTTTACAATAAATTTGTTGTTATTTTATATGTAATTTCATTGAGATATGTTACAATTACATACATCATCTATTTACCATTGACGTGTGTTCCAAAATCAATTTTACAAACATCGTCATAATGGAGGACTGTTTTATCACCCGAATTCGGCGTGTAATGCGCCGCGCAGTTATTAAGTGAACATCCAGTTGGAAAGCCGATACCTATATATCAGAAAATTTTTGTAAATTTTCATATTATTAGATACAAATGTTTCCATTTGGATAGACCATCAACTCGTGAGAAAATTAAAATTGACGGTGAGTAATGGGGAATTAAATTTTAATTTAGTTTGCAGAAAAATTGTTCTTATCCATTGAAAACTAAAGGATAACCACAGAGTGTTGCAAACAGGGAATAATCCAAAGGAGAAATCTCAACAGAATACTTTACAAATGTAATTCTCCTCTGGATATAATTACTAATATCTAATGACGATCTACTCGAAATGAAATGAATAATTACCAGCTTCTAAACCATTCTCCTCTATCAATGTACGAGTTCCGTTCTCAATTAACTCGCAAATATCAATCATTGTCATACCCGGCTTAATAGTTTTTTGAGCATATTTTCTTACCTAAATAATTATAATATAAAAGAATTAATATTGGTTTTCCTTTAAATATTTTAAAATAAACCAACCTGTCTGTGCACTTCAGCAGCGCGTCGAAGTTCATTATAGTCTTCATAATGCATCCTATCAAGATATCTTTTCTCTTCATTTGTTATCCTTTGCAAGTTACTAAAAATATAAACGCGATTGAATGTAAATAAAGTGAATTAATGTAACTTAAGAAAAACATTTAAATGTTACTTACTCATTTTTGTATTCACATATTTCTCCCTCTGGAAATTTTCCATCAGGAAAAAATTTACTAACAGGAATTGATGGTGGTTCAGTTTGTTGAATTATTTTTCCATTAACGGATTTCTTTTTTTTCTTCTTCTTCTTTTTCTTTTTTGTAACTGTAAATATGTTTTATAAATTAAATTATAATAACTTTACAAATTTTAATTTTAGTTATTTAAATTTTTGGTTTACCGTCAGAGCCAGTCACTTCTTCTCCCTCTTCCTCCTCTTCGTCGTCTATAACAGAGTTTACCTCCACTTTACCATTACTAAATTGTTGTATTGGAGAACCCTTATTAGATTCAGCATCAACCTTCACTTAATTGTATCAAAAGTTGACATTGTTACTCTAATTTTATCTCAATTAACAAGCCAAATGCGTCAAAAGAAACACTTTTAAATACAGTACCTGTTTCACTAATATTTTCAACTTTCTCAGTGGAAAGAGTTTTTTTCTTTTTCTTCTTTTTTGAGGTAGTATCAGAATTGGTGATTGAAATGGTATTGTCTAGTATAACTTGTGTCTTTAATTCTTCCATTTCTTTAGGTTATTAAACGAATTCTTCACGTATAACTTTTTTTTATAATTATGTTCACGTTACACGAAGGCTTGTTAAACTAGTATCATTATATAATAAACTTGAGAATACTAATATTTTTTACATTTTTATTACATATATAATTAATAATTATTAAATATATAAAGTCATAAATTAGTTCATAAAATATATACAAAAAAAAATATTGTTATATAATAAAATTATGTTTTTTAAAATTTATTATTATATTATATATATAAATTCAATCTTAATAAAATTTATATATTTTATTATATACATTTAATAAAAAAGATTTGATTTTTATAATAATACTAATTTTATATAATTTTATAAAATTATATAAATTTTATTTAAAAAGATAGATAAATTTTTTAATTCTTTAAAAAAATTTATATCTATCAATATATTTTTTTTAGTTTTGATTATTAGTAAAATATTGTTAAACTTTATATTGTTTTTTTAAAATCCAATAAAATCAATTAAGTTTTAAATTTAAGATGAAAGGATTACTAAAAAAAAAAAAATATTTGAATATAATTTTAAAACTCCTTTTTTTAAAAAATTTTATATATTAAAATAATTTTTAGTTTTAATATATATTATTAATTAATAAAAAAAATTTATTAAAATAAATATAAATATAAATAATTAAAAATTTTTAATCAATCATTTAATAATAATAGATAAAATTTGATAAATTTATATTATATATATTAAAATGAGTTTAATCAAGTAATTTTAATTTTAATATTTATATATATTTTTAAAAAATAATATTTACTTAATAAATTTATTTTAATAAATAATCAAAATATAATAATTAATTATATAAAAAATGTTAATATAATAATTAAATAAATTACTTCTAAAATAACTAGAAATTAAAAACTTTAATTTTTTAAAAATTATATTAATTTATTATATTATAAATAAAATTATATATAATATACATCATATTAAGACATGGAAGGTTTGGTAAGAAAATAGAGCTTTGAAATTTTTTTAATTTTTATGTATTTTGATTTGAAATAATATTAAAATTTTATTAAAAAATTCCCAGAATTTCATTTTTCTAGTAAACCTTTTATATATTATTTTACAATTATATTAATAAAATAACTGATTACAGTCATACCTCTCTATAGCGAATTTTTATATAACGAATTTTTTGGACAACTATATTAAATTTACCCTCGTTATAACGAACTAGCCAATCAAATTCTTTAAAAAATTCACTATAGCTCTATAGCGAAGTTGAAGTTCAGAACATAAAATTCGTTATATCAAGGGTTGACTGTATAACTAAATAATATAATTATATTATTTAGTTATAATCAGCTTAAATTAGGTTATTTAGTAATAAAATAACCTAGTTATGACTAAATAATTTAAATATAACTAAATAATCTAAAATTAATAAAATTAAATAATTTAAGTGTGATAATTTTTTTATATCTTCTTACTTTTCCTATTATATTTTTTATCTTTAAAATCATTTTTCTTTATCTTTTCCTATTTATTATTTGTAATCATGTGATTAAATAATCTAAATACTACTATAATCAAATAACCTGAATGTGCCTATTTTAATTACATGCTGTATACTAATAAATATCTTCTATTATAATTTACGCTAGTAGGATTTTATGATTAATTGGTTGTTGAATTCTATGTTAGAAGTGTAACATGTTTATACACGTTTGAACTCTAAGTTCTATACTAAAGTTTTTACCCTTCTATACCTCTTTGGTTATCTGTTAAAGTATTGAGGGTGTTTTCCTTCTTTACCTATTATGTTATCCATCAAAATATTAAATTGTGATAAAAAAATATTATCAAGTAACACAATAAATTCACAGTTAAATTCAGTTGTTATTATGCCATAATTTTAGCTGATCTTTAGAATATGTGATTTAAAGATCTAGCTTAGCAATATGATAATACCATAATAATGTTATGAAACTCTCCTAGAACTATTATAGAAACCAAAGTATTTCTACTTGTTCGCCAGTTTTAGGCTAGCTTGAATGCTAAAATATTATGTCTAATGTAAATTCAAAATTGGAAAATAGTGCTAGCTGAATTTTAACAAATTTTTATAATGTCTATTATACTTATTGCATTAATTATGTAACTTTTACTAACCTACAGATCAGAAAAATCAAAATGCAAATGTAAATATATCACTGATATTTGGTCAATATATACTAGATTTTGAAATTAAAGATAGGTTTATTGCATCTTATCATGCTTGAGTTCAGCTTATCTGTTTACCAGAAGAGCATATTTTATAACTTAATTATTATACTGACTAAGTTTAATTTTACTTTTAACAACCTATTTATTACCAAAGGTGAAGCTGAAGGTATTATACTTCTAAGGGTTTTGAGATATATTTGCAGAATGTTATAAGTACTTCTAAGGCCTGATCATAATTTAAACTGAAATGAGGCAATAAGTATACTATTTTTTGAACATCCCTATATAATTTCTCTGTCTTTATAAGAAAAAATTTATAGTGATGCTCTTAGAGATATCAATTTTAAAATTTCTAGTTTGATTTATTGTGTTCTTTATTACTTGTTCCTATATTCCTATGAGTCTTTATAAAATGTAAAAGTTTCAGAAAAAATTCAATATTTCTATAGTATTCTTATAAGTAAATATAATCATGTATATAGTTGATATAGTTAATATATGATCGATGTATAATATAAAAAAATAAAAAAAAGTAAAGAGTTCAAAAATTCATAGAGACATATAGGAATATAGGAACAAGTAATAAAAATGCCTTCCTAAAATTCTAAAATCATCAAAGAAGTTACTTTTAATATCTTTGCTAAGCTTTTTTCACATTTCTATAAAAAATTTTATGAGAATATAGAAACAAAATTTTTCTAAGGACAACTTTTTAGAAACATCTTAACTTGTTACAACAATTTATCAATAGTCTGTTCCAATGCTTCAGGTGTCTGCTTATTCTAAAACATCTTATCTAACTTATTTCAATAATATATGCTTTTAAATAACACTTATTTATATGCATGTTACAAAATCCCCATTTTGATGCTATCAATCTTTTACACATATCTTATTACCTTATTTGTATGAAAATTGCTGACGTTTTTTTCAGTGAATACTATACCCTTCTTATCACATACATGTCTGCTCACAAACTTCTACTTCATTAGCGTGATACTGATAAATATATTTACCCTTATTAATGTAATTCATATTAAATCTGATGTATATCATTTTGATATTATTCTTCCTTTAGTCAGTTAATCTTTTGATATTTATAATAATATTTATTTTTATTTTAAACTTTTTTGTTAGGATATTATACTAAAATAATATATATTTAAATATCATATCCTAAAATATTTTATAATGATCCAATCTGAGCTTTCAGAGTTTTTAAACATCCCTATACCATACTATTGATAGCTTAAAGCTTTTGATATAGGTGCATGCTTGTATAAAATTCACAATGATAGTATTAAACTAAAGCATTTTTTAAGCACAAATAATAAGAATAGATAGAAACCATACCCTCAAAACATGAAAGCCATTTCTTACACAAATTCATTGATGGAGATGAACTACTTTGTCTTATTATAGATTTTTGATTTACCAATAGAAACACTAAATGCTATCACCTTCAAACTTCAGTCAATTAAGTTAAATATATACTTTATAATACTTTTAGAAATGTGTGTCTAGAAATATTCTCAGAATAGGATAAAAAAAACTATAACTATTACTGATAGTAGTAATGTAAAAAAAGTATTTTTCTATGTCTCAACTTTTAGTATAAGACTTTCAAATATCGCTCAGATCGTGATGTTCACTGAATTTATTCATAAAAAATTTTCAGTATTCTTACAAGCAAATAGTATTATTGATAATATAGCAAACAAATGATCATTTCCTTGTAAATGCTTGCATCACCTAAATATATTAAGAAACTAAAGAGCATATACAGGTAAAGAAAACTACATTCAAAAAATGAATTTATCATTGATTTTATGATTCGTCTGCCTAATGATGAATTAGAAATTATTGATAGTCCTCTCTTGGTTATTCAGAAAGCAAAAATAAAGAGATATTCTAGTATAAATAATATCATCACTGATGCTGAATTCGAACTAGTAGAGATCTTTCATATTCATCTTAAAATTTTCTTAACAAATTTTCATTATTACACATCTCTCCATTACATTACCCAATATAGACTGAAAATATGATAGTGATTAAAGATGGATACCATAATTAAGAAGTTGCAACTTGGTTGCAACTCCTTATAAATTTATTTTAATATAAAAATTCATAAATAGTTGCAACTCAAAGTGTTGCAACTTAAGTTGCAACTAGTTAAAAATTTTAAAAATAATTATGGAAATCATCTTTAATAGTGATAATGCCTATATAATATGAAATAAAAATCATACAGCTTTTTTTGCTACTAAGCAAACTAAGATAGGCAACCTGAGTTAAGAAAGCCTTTAAAAAAACTTACTATTAGCGAAACTGCCTTAAATCAAAAACAAAAGCTTCCAAATCCTATAAAACTAGAATGATCCAGAATTTTAAATCTCAACAATTATTTTGTATAGAGTGATCTAATTAAAATGTGTGTATCTAAACAGATATTTTATCATAATGAGATTTATGACACAATTCAAGCAACAGTTACCTATATTTAAATGACATCAAGATTATGAGTACTTAAAATAAAGAATATGAATGGTGAACTTTATTTTAATATGATGTCAAAACTAAATCTTGCCAAGTATGAAGTTAACTTAGTTAAGCTAAGAGAAGAGATAGTGAAGTTAATTAATTTAATAAATCAGACAGTTACCAAAGATCTAATTCTTTATTGCAATATTAATTTTCTTTCATATCTGCTAAATACGCTAAATACTCTAACTTACATCTGGAATTTAAATGTGGTGTAATATTCCGTAGATTTACGA